TTAGGGGGCCCTAATGATTTCTGATCTCGGTTATATTTTTGCTTTTTGCTAAGTGTGCACATACTTTTGAAACACACTGTACTGTGTATATGTATATTTATTCCTTCCCACTTACCCTCATGAACGATGTGCCTTACTTAGAAAAGGTGGATGAAAACATGAAATATGTAAATAGTAATTTTTACAGGTTTGCCAAACGGACTATTACCAACATCATTGCAGTGCTTGAAGGAAAGGAGGAGCCTGATAAATGGGTGATGTTGGGAAATCACGTCGATGCTTGGGGAAAGGTGAATTACTCGTGTCCTCATTAAGATATTCAAAATTGAATTCATCAAAAAATTGTTTTCATCGCTCCGCACAAACCATTTTGAGATATGAAAGTTCGTAAATTTGACAAAAACTCTCCCAGGCCCGGCACAGAGTTGTGCGCACCTACCGAAAATTCGCTGTTGCCTGCGGGTCAGTAGGAGACTCGGTCATCACATCAAAGCGAGTCCACTGTGTAAGAACTCAGATGAGCTTCCCAGAACCTTCCTTTCCAGCCGCAGTACCAGCTACCGATTCCTACTGACATTCACCAGAAAGGCAGCTTTTTCACTGAGGGATTAGCTTCTCCATTTTTGCTATAAACAGTTCTGTTCTTTTTCATCTTTGCAGGGAGAGAAAGGAATGAATGAAAAAGCAAAACAGTAGAATAATAAATTGAAAAAAAGTCATAACCTGTTTCGACATGATGTTCTTGCTAACTGTTTTCATTTCGCCGCAGTACGCCGCAGTACGCCGCAGTAGGCTTCACTTCGGCCTCAGACGGGAATCGAACCCATACCCGTGCCCAGAAAGCGCAAGCACCGGTTCGAGTCCTGACCGAGGCCGAGCTTTTCCTGCGCATCTCCATGCTCGTGAAAAACGGAGACTCTCGAAAGGGAACCAGAATGGCAATATGCTTGAAGAAATGAAGAGGTTCTTGAAACGGCTATCAAAGTTGCCTCATAGGGTGACCTGATTCGACACGGCAAACCCTGACCACCGTGCCTATTGTCTTTTTACCAAAGATACCTATATGTACTGCCAGTATTAGTCTTATCACAAGGAACTCGAACCGAATCATTCCCACAACCTTCCTGTCCATGATTGATTTCTTTTCAATTGATCTCTATATTGCTGTTAGCTCAATTGGATTTCTCTGAATAGTAATCTTCCCTTCCCTTCGGGAGGAAAGTGAGCTTTACTAGTAACACTAGAGAAGTAGAGAAATGCCCAATTGCCAGACCATACGCTTCCAATGACTCGCCAACACTGTTTTTGGACACTATTCTTGAGTATCTTATCTCAAACCATTCCATTTTATCACACTTCATAGGGTGCTATTGATCCGGTTTCCGGTACAGCTGTACAACTGGAGGTGGCAAGAGTGATGGCAAAGGTCAGTTCTTTGGAGGACCATAGATTAAATAACTCTGAATGCCGCTTGAATTGATGAACTTGTAAACAGGTTTTCGAGCAGCACGCACCAAGACGTACAATCGTGTTCTGTCACTGGGACGGTGAAGAGTTTGGGCTGATCGGTTCCAATGAATGGATCGAGCAGCGGCTAGGGGTTCTTCAGAGGAGGTGAGTAGCAGACTGATTACCTGGCCTCAGGGTAACAGTCAGTGCCAACCGCACCAGAATAGCCCTGCCCAGGGAAAGACTCTTTCATCTATATCTCTTAACAACTGTCTGGACCAAATCAAAAGCACAGGCTTTTTTAGAGCTGTTGCCTACATTAATGTTGATCACATAGCTGGTGGTAGTTCGCTCGATATAAAAGCAGTTCCACTCCTATACCGGGCTATAGTCGAAGCGTCTCAGAGGTGGGCAAACTTAAAAACTGCTTTTCAAAGGCTACAAGTTCAGCAATTGCATTCAGGACGTCATACTCAGATGGCTCAAGCGGCGAAAGTCTCCTCGATTCATGGAGACATTTTCGACGCCGGGGTCCATTCTTGGGTGATCGTGCCGTACCCGAAATCGGTTTACCAGCTGGAGGATCAGACTATCAAGTACGTTCAGCTAATTTGTGGCTGTTTTTCTAAGCTTGTAGCCGATGGGAGCATGCTGCATATATTTCCAAACTCGCTGATTCTTAATCTATGGGTTACGGAGTGGTTCTTTGTCGCTGAATCTCGTTCGCCGTTCATAGCACAATCTTACTCTCGCTCGCTTCCTGGGAAGTGAGGTTATCTGCGGGAGCGCAAAAGGTTCCCACACATTCCTCGAATCACATTGATATGTGGGAAAGTTCAGTTCTGGGAAGTTGTATGACTCAGATCCTCTTGGTTCCATTATGATGAGTGTCCACCTAATACCTAAGAGATCTGGAGTAACTTATGAAAAAGTAAAAAGGGTAATCGAGGACGGTAGACAATCAAACGGGCAATCTAGACTGACGAATTATTACTTTTTACAATTACAGAGTTATTGCAAAAGGCAGTTTTGTAGTTGTGGGGATAAAGAGGATTTAAAGACGCCTTTCATACTTATTAACTCGAATGCTAGAAAAAAAGTTACTTCGTATTCGAAATAAGACTGAGAACATGAATTTTTTGATGCCGGCAATCCTGTTTTGTGATGGGCTCACATATTCCTAAAACCGCAAAATACGGCGTATTGAGAGAAAAATGAGGTCTCATAAAAGCACTTTTATTAGAGGTGAACGAGAATGTGACGACACAGAGGGCATGGAAAGCTTATTCGGACGAGCTGTCCAAATATGTAGGTCATTGCGCACATCTGGCTACAGTAACCTGAATGCGTGACGTGGGCGCCTCGGTGCGAATTGTGCAACTCTGTAGCCTCTGAAAACCCGTGAGAACTCGTCCGTCTTCAAATGTGTACGTCGGCTAAGCCGATTTTGGAGCCCATATTACGCCCTATCTGAGTCCTTTATCGACTCGACGGCGTCCCTTGTGCTATCCTTGGGAGTCAGAAGTTTATCTTATGGATATTCAGAAATCATTTTTGTAGTAAACTGTGCCTCTAACTGGTCCCTTTTCAGAGATTCATAACATTCGCTGGTATTCCTGCAGCTGACATCAAGTTGGAGCAGAGACCTGGTCAATCGTATGCTCTCTATCATACAATGTTCGTTTACTTGTAAACCAATTTTCGACCAGTTGCAGTACATAGAATGATGATACTGTATACATACTACGTACTTTGTGCTCAGGTATGAAACACCGTGGACTGTTGAGAATCTGATCGATCCGAAGTTCGCCTCACTCACGTCCGTGGGTCATTTGTGGGTGGAAATAGTTCATAGACTGGCTAATAGCTTGGTCAGTAATATTACATTGTAATAAAACCTAGACCCAATTAACCTACTTTTGAAAAGTCATTTCACTTCGTTCAGGTGATTCCCTTCAACGCATTGGACTATGCTCAATCCTTGTTAGTTTTATTTCATAAAGCCGAGGTTCACCTGTCAAAGATGGAGTTGACAAAAACGATTAGTTGGTTACCACATAAGCTGAGTAGCCTGAAGGAAGTTCTACGACGTTTTCACAATGTCGCTCGAACCATACAAGCGGAGGTTCAGGTTTGTAAACATTCATTTGTATTTTTATTTATAACAAACAAAGGTAAGCTGACAGTTAATTGGGGTGGGTGGACATATTTTGAAGCAGGAGAAGGTTCATCAAAAACCAAGTGAAAACCTGCAATTGCATTGATTCCAATTACCCAAAAAGGTGGGAAAAGCTGACATTTAAAACACATAAAGATTGATAAAAGGCATTATTTGCATTTCCTTTGTTGGACCTCTTGTTCCAGCTCTCTTTTCGCTCCTTTATGCGATGCCAAAGTCTAACAGGGATAGCGATAAGTGGGCAAAACTCGTCCGAGTTCGAAGTTTCACGTGCGACTCCTTGAGAGATTTGAGTTTGCATTTTCAGCTAATTAAGCGAGAATTTATTTGAATTAGCCTTTTGAGTTTTTTCAGCGTGAAGGAAGGTAAAGGTAGATTCGGGAATTGCAGTCAATCAAATACTTCTCTTTTGAACATCAGATGGGCTCCTCTCATCATTCTGCCCATTTCTATGATTCCATACTCACTCATGTGTTTTGAATGACCAAATTTTTGCATTGCTCTAAACTATTTCGGGATGAGCCCCGAATTCGGCATTCATTCAGGATGATAGTGGCGTTTTCCGAAGCATTTGCAATGTCACACTAATACAAGTCAAAATTTTTGCTCTCCCAAACGAGTCAGGTGCCGTTTCATCGTTCTTGGGAATAACGAACGTTGGCATGTGCCGTTATTGCTTCAGGTTTCGATTACTAAGCTGTACGTGTAGTAGCGACACTACCACCTTAGCATCACCTTACCTCCTTCTTCTCATGGACCTCACTGCGGTACTGCCAGCGGCACCGAAAGTCGTTCAAATTCTTATGAAGCTCTCGTGACCGGGGTTGAGTCCATTTCACAGCCTTGGATCATTTCAGAAAAGTGATGATGGTTAAAGGTATAATTCGCAGTAATTTTGAGGCATTCAGCTTGGACGAAATAATGGAAGGTATGGCGTAGAATAGTGCAGAAATGTCAAAAAGAGCGCGAAAGTCGCCGAACAAATCAGTAGAAAGAGAGGAGTTAAACGGAATTATGTCTGTGGTCACCTGGGTACCTCTCACATAACCGTACTATTTGTTTGCGTCATGACGTTTCATGGTAACTGGTGCAGCCTTGACAAAGCCGTCATAACACGCCCTTTTTTTTTGGATGTGTATGTTGATCAAGCCGTATTTGGAGCATTTATACCGTCTTGTCGAGGTCGTTTCTCGACGTGACATTGTCTCTCATGCAAGCTTTGGGAGCTACAGGTTCTTCCGGAAGAGGAATTTCAGAAACCATTCTCTGACCATTGTGACCTAAACCTTTATGTTGCGTTTCTAGTGTGAGCTATTGAACATTATCACTTGGAAATAGTTTATGTTTAGGATATCGCTAGTGGTCAGAACGAAGTGACCATTCAACGGCTCAATTCTATCAATTCTCGTCTACAGTACATCGAGCGTTCGTTTTTGAACCCAACGGCCACCATGGAACAGCCATACTATCGACATTTAGTATTTTCCCCGTCTATGCACTCAACACGTATCACATCGTTTTCCAGTATCCTTGATCCAGCTCTGGGATATTACCGCTCTCACAACGAGACCCACCTACATAGTTTGGCAGTGGCCATCACAAATGTACAGTATGCCGTCGAAAGTGCCATTGATGCACTTCACTAGTATTTCGTTCTTACTGGTAGAATACATGGACTTTCATCTATGATGCGCCTTAACTGAGTGAACTTTACTTAAACCAAATTGCATTTTAGAGATTTTTCAATTATCGAAATTGTGTGCGTTTTATCGATTTTATCGATCAACGACCGTTACGTGTTCTGATTCTCACTTTCATAATAATTGGCAGTGTAATGCGTGCTCATTTAGGTCACAATTTTTTTTGCTGCCTTAAAGGCTGACTATGTAGATTATTTCATTATCACTATTTGACGTCGAAACCATTGTAGCCCGCGGTCACCAGCCTCTGTAGGCTCGTAGCATAAAATAGGTGGTAATTGAATCAAAAAATCCCCTCGTGTACGATTGGCAATCCTTAGTCGCTGTCCCATTGATTATTGATTTTGTCGCGTGGGCGCCAGTAACGTCTCCATTCGTCTCTACAGCGAGTAAATCGAGTCCAGTAGACCTCTGTCGCTCGAGGTTACCTGGTTACCTGATGCAAATCGATCTTTTCGTTCAGACTTTTCGTGAAGAACTCTCAATTTCGGCCATCCTGGAATTTGTTTGACGTTCCCAACATATTCAGCAGTCTCCCCACAGCCATCTTCCCATCTGAGGATAGGATTATCTGCCCATCTAAGGACCGCAATAGTTTCGAGTCGTTACTTTACGTTTTAGCCATAAGTTAGCTACTACATTTTTCTACAAACTGTGGAGTTCTGTTAGAATTGGGAGGAAAATCCTGAGCGCTCGTTAGCTCTATTGTATAAGACTCGTACTCAGTTCGTACTAGTAGTTGAAAAGTATTCGAGCACCGGAATATTTCATCGTATTCTCTTCTGCCGATCTCGTTTTCCCACGAATATTATTGTGACAAATGTGAATATTTGTAAAAATTTCTCATAACAAACTAGCCTGTCTTACATTCTAGTAATATAGAGTTCCACATTATAACACACTCACCAGCTTATACCAGCAATGACACAAGGCTAATGTGAATCACAATCAAGCGAATCCTTTTCTGAAAAATACTATTTTGTCAAAGAGTAGGCCATATTAAAGGCACGGTTCACGTTAGAAATGGTTACTGAGTTCTTCCCTCAGGAATACTCAGTGGTCCCCATAAGAGGTATGAGGGTTCCTTCGAAATCACGACGGTCAGGGCATGGTGAAAGCCCTGTTGCTGTCTTGATTCGTTTTTCCGCCCCTCGATCGATGTTGTTGAGACAATACAGCTTGCAACTATTCGTTCTAGGACCCACACACAATCAGCTGATCGCCGATTGATGAGACGATGTTTTTCACCCATTCTTATTTCCTGTGTCATTCTTTTTGTTGCTGCGATCCCTTATTTAATTTCCTACTCTTAGAGGCTGAAGAAGATGAGCTACTTTTGCTGTTACTAGGGTTCATTTGTTTACTTATGCTCATAAGTAAATGAGTTTTAGCTTACCAGAGTCTGTTATTCGCACCAGGACCCACAAGTACGCAGTGAGACACATTTTATAGCTCGTCCAAACGCCCCCACTCTTCTTCATTTTTCTGGTCTCATTCTCGTCTAGCCCACTTTTCAACGGTTTTTCGAAGCCGTTTTTTACTTTGGAAATACCGATTCACGCAGTTTCTTCACCTTCATCGCATTATTTTCGATCTTGTCGTCCATTTTTCATCATAATCTGGATTACTCAAAATTATCGTGAACTGTGCCTTTAACGTCGATGGTCAGTCCACTCTACTTGTTCTGCCACACGAATACCAAAGGAAGGAGGGGAGGAGAAGGGTGGATTAGAACCTAATGGTTGAATAACTAACGCTTTTAAAGGTTCATCGCCCTTCTCGTCTCCCCACCACCCTTCGCCACCGAATTTCAGTGAGGCTACTATTTATCTGGATTGTTTCGACAGCCTTTACGAGGGCTATCGTTGAAAGGACGAAATGGGAGGAAAAAGAGTGCTGTGAAATTAAGAACCTGAACTATACAGCGCAAGGACCAACCTCGTAGTTCATACGTACATACAGGGTGTCCCAAAATTATTTGCGCCAAAGTTCAGTAACTTTAAGGTAGAAATAATCTATCAAATTTACATCACCTGTTATTAATTAGTTGCATAAGAAGGTTTCCTTGCAATATGCATGATTGCTTATGTGGAACTCCCATTACCTTTCAGATGGAGGAGGCTCATTCAATGCCACTTGCAATCATTGACGCGCGGAAAGTGAAAGGGCGTTATGAAATTCTTTAGGATTTTTCTAATACCCGTATGGGAGGCTATTAAACGATATAGAAAAGAAGATTGAGTCAGAGACAAACCAGGAAAGATAGAAAGGTAGAATGTTTCTGAAGATAGGACTATTAAAATGGTCCGTATGCCAGTCGGTCGGGATCCTGGGTGACCCATCAAAAGGAAGTCACGTCAGGCACGGCTTATCCGAGTTATCGCGATGGAAGAATGTCATGCAGAAGCCTCACTGCCGTTCCTATCGTATGCAGAAACTTCGCTTCAATTCCGATCTCAACAGATGTTGCAGGGCCAAAAATGCAGGGAGTCGAAAGTGATGACACGCAACCCTTCGTCGTTTTCTCTGGTCAAGAAATTTTTTACGATAAAGCCATTCCCAAACAACAAAAATGTTCGCGTTCCGGAAAGAAACATCCAGCCTGTAATATCTCACAAAAAAGTTGTTATCAGAACAGTAAAATGATGTTTTTCGAGGAAATCACTGGCAAGGGTGAGCCGCTCGTGGTTTCTTTGGTGCAGGCGTGAAAATTGACCAAGACCAGTACTCAAACGGCGTACTGATGGAAGTAAATGAAACATTGACCCGACTACGTTTCCTGAATCATCTCATAGTCCTTCCAGCAGGACGCTACTCCAGCCCACAGAGCCAAGTTTGCCCGCGAGTGGTGCCGCCGACAGCTGCCCGACTTCATTGGTGAAGAGGAATGGTCATCCTATTTTCCAGAACTTGACTCACTTGAATCCCACGAATGGTTTCTGATTAGAAGAGGACCTGTAGCGTTTGCAGTCCTAATTTGGAGTCCTAGAATGCAAAAGCTGGAGGACGGCTGGGAAGAAATGGAGAAGGATACCTGCGTGCCACATGCGATCAAGTCGAAAGCAAACTTTGACTTCTATTCGCGCTCACGGGGGATATTTTCTAATGCGATTTTAGCATGTTGTAGCACATAGTGTTAGCTACCGTGCATAGAAATTCCATCGTCTTTCGCAGTTGAGAAGTTTCAAATATATTGCTATAAATCGGCGCAAATAATTTTGGGACACCCTGTACTTTCATGGTGCCTCCATAGCTCCTGAGCGCAATCGCTTTTGATAGGTCTGCTCAGGCAGTACTACTAGTAGTATACTAGTATGTGTAGCATGGTCAAGACGCATAGTCAACGCAAAGAGACCAATGAACTCTTTGTTCATTCATATCGATACCTGTTCTCCCTTAGATGGCTCTAAAACTTAATGACTGTATCGATGACATTTCAGACTCACCCGTCAGACTCAAAATGCCATCAAAATGTGAAAGAGGCAGCAACAAGGTCATTAAATCCATAAAATTTGGCTTTTCAGGCCGACAAAAATATAATTAAAAATGAAAGAAATAACAATGCATAACCCCAAGCTGAAGAGAACATTTTTAGTGGCTGCTTTCATAGTCCGCAGGCGTGCCGGCGTGCCGGCATGCCAATTGAGGTAGTGCTAGGGGGAGGAGGGAGGCAGACGGTCGGTCGACGCGTTCGCGTCGCGCCCAAGCCCCTTCGAAGGGCTGAAAACAAGGAAAAACAAGATGAAAATCCATTTGCACAAGCCCCTGGTTGCTCGGTTTTTGATCCTTTCTCTTTGTTTTCAGCCCTCCGAAGGGGCTTGGCGGAACGCGACGCGACCGCGTCGACCGACCGTCTGCCTCCCTCCTCCCCCTAGCACTACCTCGGCTGAAACGCCGGCACGCCGGCGACTATGAAANTTTTTCCTTGTTTTCAGCCCTTCGAAGGGGCTTGGGCGCGACGCGAACGCGTCGACCGACCGTCTGCCTCCCTCCTCCCCCTAGCACTACCTCGGCTGAAACGCCGGCACGCCGGCGACTATGAAAGCAGCTAGTACTTGGGCTGGGGTTGAAGGGCGCTCTGACAGAGGAACTGAAGAAGCAGAATGAAGAGTTGGTGGAAAAAGTTCAACTTCAGTGTTCGTCAACTGAAAAGTCCGTAATTGAAAAGATTTTTTATAGACATTGTAGAGAAATCTGGTAATAATAGCCTAATGGTAATGTGGAAGCAATTTACAAGGAAAGCCCCAATCCTCAAAATCTTTTTTATTCTCAATATGGCCGTAACTTTTTGGGTCCAGTTTCTCAGATAGTGTTCAGGAAACCCCTTGGCGGCCCCTAAACTGGGTAACGATTTATCAAATGTTTTGAATAAAAATCTGCCCTTAGAAAATCGTTAAGCTATCTCTGGCAGTGATGAGAGGAGGTTTTGGTATCAGGAAGTGTTTAGAATGGGAAGATTTCTCAATGGACAAATTCGGCTCCCTGTTCTGCGTATCCAAGAACTTTGATCGCCCATTCCGCAAACAGTTCAATTCAGTGGAGAACGGACCACTTGGTTTCCTTCTAGCCTCGGTTTGTGGGAAGTACCAGTGGTGATGTCACCCTACCAAACTGAAAGGGTACAAGTCCTCTCTTCTGCTGCTGCGTTGCTATTTTTATGACTTGATCTTGAATATACATCACTCGCTGAGTTACCTAACAAGAAAGTTTACCTAGTTGACCAGGCAACTGTTTTCACGGGCCGTCAGTGTGTACGAAGTGAATTTCGCTCAGTTTTCGGGTTGCCTATCGTGGAAAACACATGTTGGCAATCAAACAACTTAAGAGCCTATGAGTTCGGTGGCCAGCACAGCAAACAATGGCCGTCACTTTAAAAGGAGTCGCAAATCGTTGTTTGATTCATTGTCTCCCGCTCACACTCCTCATCATCTCAAGAAATCAAAATGATCGTCTACCTTGTCCTTTTTCTGACGGTCTCTCATCTCGTCTCAGCTCAACGTGCCGGTAAGTTTTAGGTTCGAAACCTAGGCCTAACTGAGCTGTACCTAAATGCCTATTTTCAGATATACTGTCACGAGCTGTTGGACCGTGTATCAGTGGAAAGTGCCAACCAGGTCACACCTGCTATTTCGAGCAATGTGTTCCACAAGGACTAAGGTTCAAGAGAGGCTTTAATAGAGGTACTGAAGCAATGGAATGCTAAGGGTTGGATAGGAATCGGAGCTTTGATATTTGGTGATTGAAAGGCCAGTAAATGAATCAAAGTTTTCGCAGCTATGAAGGAGGAGTTTGGTAACATCAGCTTAACGATAATGTGGCGATAATCCAAAAGAGGAACGTCTCAACCTTTAAAATTTACCATTCTTCAAGAGTATTTTCCAAGAGAGGGGCTGTAAGTCTTTGGGTACAGTGGTTAAGTGATGATTTCAAAGCAAGGAGGACCCGTGAAATTCTCCTAACAGAAGGTTCTGAGCTGCGTCACGCATCCGATTTTCGTTTAAAAATGTAGATTTTAAGCCTACCAGGAGCTCGCTGGAATTTAGATGGTAAATTAAATGTTTATTTTTCCAAACAGGGAGGAGGTGGTGTAGTGTCAAATGGCGCACTATCACACACGCAAGGTCAGGGGGTTCGTATCCCGAGCCGATGTCCATAGGACCGAGCAAGCTTCGCATTCCTCCGGGGTTGGTGCTAATTGGTACTAGACTCTGGGAGGATAAAGGCAGTGACTGTAGCTACCGCAATTCATTGTATAAGCCACATACGCATTCAAAACGTTACGACAAGTCTGGACGGAAGTCAAATGCGGGGTGCATCCCTCAGACGGGATTGAGTAACGCCAAAAACTTTATCCTTTTATCCTTTATTCTAAATATCCCCTTCATACATTAACTCCTATGACGTATTGTTTCAGATACTGCTGTCGGACCGTGCATCGCCGGGTTGTGCCCATCTGGTTACTTCTGCCACCAACAGGAATGCTTGAAGCGATAGCTGTCTCAGATTCTAGATACTGATGGCGAGGAAGCTGGTTATGTTGGAGTGGATGAAGAAAGTTTTATTTTCATGTGTATTTCGACTGGATACAATGATTTTAATAAATATTATGGGTACGCATTTTACATCGATAAGCATTGGGATGAATCAGCTGTTGTTCAAGTACTCTGGTTACTTGTCCAGGCCAATCTTTGTTATGTGATAGATGGGAAGCTATAGAGACTGTGTGGGTTCGAAGGGGTCATTAGTTAGCTACGGTATGATCCCTTCCCAGGCTATCCACTTTCCAACTCGATACACTTTACAGTAATCCTTTGAGTATGCAGGAAATGCCGTCCCCCCCCCCCCCTTGTATGGGCAAACCTGCTTTAGCACGAGTTGTATGAACTGTGAAGTACCAAACGATTCTGTTGAAAATCATTGAAAAACGACTTGATGCCTGCTATTTCCGTTCTTCCCTGGATTTCATCGCAGCTGTCATTGAAGTGGATGAAAGTATGAGGAGCTTGATCCCTCAGCCCAGCTTTCTTGGGGAATATTGTTGACAGTGTTACTCTTATGGAACCCGTCGAGAGGGAGCAATCTCGTGGATGGTAGTGGAGTACTTGGACGAGTATTGCTTTCTGTTTAGATCTTCACATTTGCATTTGAGGTCAGCGGCTGTCACTCTCACAGCTGTCCCAAGCCTCATCTCATCCATATTGTTCACTCAAAATGTCATTAGGCACTAATGGAATCTTCCCTTCGGGACGCATAAACAACGATCTTCTTTAGTCTCCAGTTACAATCGTAAATATGTACAAGTCAGTGTTTTAATCCTCCCAAACGAGTCTGTTATCAAGTAGACGATCCCGGAGGGATGGAAGTCTAAGTTGACCCAGGTGGATGTCGATCCGGCCGACTTTACGTTTGGGATAGCGGGTCGCTTCCCAATAATCACACCCGTTCCCAATCTATAACTGACTGGAGGTGAATCACCCCTTAACTCAAGGCCTAATAAAGGTAGCCCTCTCTCTGATAGAAGTCCCGATTCTTTTGAGCTCACTATTTGGTACCAAACTCAGTAAACTGACTTTGGCCAAAGTATCAGAGTTCTACCCAACACATTTGCCCCTTCGAGGATCTTTAAAAATTCTGTGAAATTCTATAGGAAAATTACAATCCGTGGATAAAGTAATTACTGCCGAACTAACATGTTGTTAATTTTGAGAAATATCATGCGATACTGGACGGGACGACAGGCGAAGAGGTGGTCCTCTCATTCTGGAGAATATTGCCAAAAATATTTCGTAATATTTATTCGCACAATAACTGGCAACAATACGCCTTGACTAAGTAAACTCGGATAGATTAAAGGTAACTCTCGGAAGCATAGAACTCCAGATATTCTGAACAATGGGAGCCATTAGACACAGATTCAGATAAGTCTATCCCTTCCAATCGACACCTGATTGCTTTCGGAGCGGGTCTGAAAAACGAAAGATTATGACAAGCAAAGTCAAATAGACAAGAAACAAGTAAGTTGTGAGAAACAAGTTTCTTCATCAGTCAGTACTATCGGATGATTCAGAAGCTAGGACGCAGATAAATAAATAGCTATAACAATTGTTTGTTTAGTAAATCACTCATCGATGGCTATTAAATTGACTATACATTAATTTATTTAAAAATCAATCCAATTTTTGCTTGTAAAGCAACTCACGTATCACACCTATCTGCGGACAATATTTCATGTCCCTTCAAAAAACTTTTTAGCCAAAACTGCGATATAAAGTGCGTCCTAGCAAGTTTTCCGAGTGACATGTAAATTATGTGACCATACCCCAGCATGGAAGTGAGAATTTTCGAGAAAAACAAAAAATAAATCCTTGGGAGGTTCGGGGTAGAGGGGGGG